GAGATATATTATCATAATCTACGGCATTAATTCCCTCCGATTTGCAGGGTCCACTTGACAAATGGCCGGCGAGTCGGTGAATCGGTGAATCGGCGGAAGGGGACAAGGAAAACATTTTCTTTGATTTGGCCGAGGAATTCGGGGGAGTTGTTTATGCCTCCGAGGGCCAGCGATAAATATTTGCCATTGTTTGGCTGTCAGTTCGGTCGGCTTTCCCTGCTTTTCCACCGCTTTTCCACCAGCAACGAGGCGAAGGCCAAGGCGATATTTACCTGATAAATTCCCGGCATTCGGAAACAGTTCTATTTGTTTTTCGCCTTCCTATGTTTTTATGGTCACAGAGCACAGAAACAAAAATGTAGAAAAAAAGTATTTCGGATTTGTGTGTTTTTTTAGGCCTTCTCGGTTTGTTGAAAAGTTCTGCACATTTGCTTCAGCTGGTTCTCTTCTGGTGTTTTCAAAAAACGCTTTTCACTTCGCCGGATTTGGAATTAGGAATGCGGATTCGAAATTCCGCTTTCGGTTTTCGCTGTCCGATTTTGAACTGAGTTCTTGGTCTCCGGATCTCTTTTCAGGGCTGTGTGTTCGCCTTAAAAAACCCGCAACGACTGAATCAAAACAAACAAATTTCTTTGGTTTTATTCGAAAAAGTGCTGGCTGATATTTCGGCAGCGGCTTGCCGTTCGTTGGCCCTCGGAAAAGCCTCGGCAAAACCGCGCCGGAGTGTTCCCAGCTGCTTCCATCCGCTATCCGGAGTCCGTCATCCCCTTTTTTTTATCCGCCCGCCTTGGCTTCCCACTTTTATCCGTATCCGTATCCGTGCGTCTGCGCTTTCCCTTCCTCTTCCTCTTCCTCTTCTTCGCCCTTTTTTGTTTACATGGCCCCGCTTGACTTTCGTGTTTTTGTTGTTTGTTGTTGTTTGTTGTTGCTTGTTGTTGTTTGTTGTTGTTTGTGGGTGTTTGTGGGTGTTGCTGGTGTTGTTCTTGCTTTCCTAGTTGTTATTCTTGCGCCGCATTGTTGCTTTTGTTAAGCGTTTTTTAATCTCTTAGCGCCGCGCTTTGTTTTCGAGTCTCCGAATCGAGCGCCGCTCTCAGCTGTTTCCCATCGACCAGAAGGTCTCCTCCGAAGGTGTTTGACACTGGGCCATCCATTCACCTCCTCAACTCGGCTCCCATAAGGCCATGTTGCCCCAACCGCAGAGCGGCAGAACTTACTCAATCAAGGAGCCCACATGTCCTGCAGGCGAACGCCGAATGCCCTGCACTCTGCCATCGGAAAGTGGGAAAGGTTGCTGGCCTCCTCCTCGTCCGCCAGGATTGCAGCTCCTCGCCTGCTCCGTCGCAATTCAAAAACACGTTAAGCAAGCCAAACACTTCTTTGATTCCATCACACCCGCTTGAAGGGCACCGCGAAAATTTGTTTTATGATTTAAGCCATGCGGTTGCCTTTGCCTTTCATGCTTCTGATTCTGATTCAGATTTTTTGGTCAATGACTTGCCAGCGAGCGAAATGCTCGAAATGGGAAAAGTCATTAACTTTTATGGGGGCGCGGAGCCCGTGGAAATGCAATTTCCTTATCAGTTTCGCTCGAGTCCTTTGTCGCCCCTAATTCCATTGCATGTGGCTGGTTTATTTTTGTGGCCGCTTGCCACTGGATCCTGATCCTGATTCGATTTGGCCTGATTGATGCTTTGTTGCCCGGCATTCCTGCGGATTCCCCTTCCAATACATATTGTACGGCGCATTTCGGCACAGGTGAACAATTAGAGGTTCAACGACTCTGCTCTCCGTCTGCTCGTCTGTCGCAGAACTCCACTCCACTCCAACCAAATCCAGAACCTTTGTCGGCTTAGACAAAAGGAAGGCGACTTCCTTGTCATATTTCCTACTTTCGGATTGCGACTTCATCGTTGCGTTGGTTTCCCATCAAAACACTCGAGTCGAGTCGGTCGAAGCAGTCAGCTCAGCCACTCGATTAGATGCCAGTTTATGAGTGGCCTGCCAGAATCAATAAGCCCATTCACTCGACTCGGGAAGCGAGTGGGCGGCTTGTGCACTGGGAAAAGGAGTGTACTACGTTGGATAGTAATAATTATATGGATAAAGAAGCCTGGCTGGGATACAGGAAGTTGTAGCCCGTTGTAGCCCACAAATAGTGTAGGATTTTTACTGATACAGGAGTACTCCTCACCCGATTTCCCGCAGTGTTCGCCAAACAAACATATTGAACAGACATATTGAACCGGAGACACATGAAATCTCCCACTTGAGCCATGTTACTTTATAATCAAATTGGAAACTGTAGCCTTTTCTCCGACCCCTGGAGGCGTTCCTCCGCCCCGAAAACAGTCGTCAACTTTTCGTCCTCTGATTTCGCCTCGGGACTGCCACACACGCTGTGAAATGCAAAGTTGCAAAGTTGCAGTTGCAGCTCCAATTTGCACTGCAGTTGCAGCTGCAGTTCAGAATCAGTTGCCGCCTGGTGGCAGAATAATTGCATTTTTGCACTGCTGCCTGGCAGAAATCCATGGAGCCCATGAAGTCCAAGTCGGCTCGCATCAGCAGAGCAGTCAGAAGGTCCTCGCAGGACTCCCACGAGTGCCGAGTGAGCCGCAAAAAGGAATAAAATAACAAGTATGGAAGGAATGACGAGATGGAAGGAAGTGCCGGGGGAACCGAAAATACTTCTGCCGATCAAAAGGAGTAGAAGCCACGTTATTAAATGCCTGCGCAGGGATTTCTCTTCAAGGGATTACGCTTCAAACTTTTCAAACTCTTAAAATATGTCGACGAATCGTAGGTCGTAAGTCCGTCAGCTTTAAGTACGCACATTCAGAAGTCTGATTTGAAAGTACAGGGCTAAAATTGGAGTCTGGAATGGACGGAGTTCCCTCCATCACACCCTTGATATCCTTGGATGTGATTTTAATTTCAATTTCGCTCCGAGGATTCGGTCAGCAGAGTGCGGCACAAAGGCTCCTCCGAGTGATTGATATGCCTGCGGGGCTTCCCTTACCGCTCCTCCCAGAATCCCGGGAGGAATATGGGCTTCGGGATGTGCAGCATGCAACTGTATCCGAGTCCCCATTCCGGCGAAGGTGTCGGTTAAGCCGATTGGACGCTGTACGGACACCCAAGCAGAGGTAAATCGCACCGGAGTGCCGCGTTCGCAGTGCTCCAAGTCGGGCGGCAAGTGCGGAATGGAAATCCCTGGCAAATCCTCTTCAAGGCCACCGAAGCAGGATTCCGGGAATGGGAATGGGAATGGGAATGAGTGTGCGCACGTTATTCAAGCGACAGAACAGCTTTTCATACATTGCGATTAAAGCCCCTCGATTGCCGCAATTATCAACCGAATCTGCTTGTTTATCGGGCTCCGGCTTATCATATGTGGAGCTCTGGAAAATCATTAAGCGACGCTCGTGGCTCGTGGGCTTCGGCAGCAGTAAACGGATCAATATCCGCAACGGCATTAATATTTATATTCAAATTGGCGAATTCCCATTCACTTGTAATCACCATTGATGTGGCTGAAATGAGCCCGTATCGGTAATCACTCTCATATATTCCGACTGGCCATGAATCTCCGCAGCAGATTCAATTAAAATGTATGAATAAATCAATGTTTTGAGTTGCCATTGCCATTCAGTTTCCTCTTCCCTGAATGCAGGAAAATTCGACACCCATACAGAATGCAAAATTCGAACTTCGAAATCAAGAATTGATTTAGTTACAGTTTCCTATTTGCAAGTAAAAAGAACACCAGGACTTCAGCTGCACATTTAACACCACTCCACAATTCGATTTGGTTGGCGGGGGATAAAGACGGAAGTGGCTAAACATCATCTATCATATATATATATAATATATGTATATAAATATATATGTGTCGTATTGGTCTAAATGCCGTTTTGCTGCCCAGGGGGAGCTGTTCACGAAGGGCACCAATCCATTCGGGGTGGCTTGATGGGGGAACGTTTTTCCTCAGGCTTCGCAGGCAGGATTCCTACAGTTATCCTTCCCACAACAAGTACCTCCCTTAGGTTCCGAGGCAGTGATCCAATTACTTATGGCTCACATACAAAACTAAATATGCAGTGTCACCCCAGCATCACGAGCATCCCACAACAGGGCTTCCCCTCTTCGATTGAGCTTCCTCATTTGCATAGGTGGCATTCATTAGACACGTACGTATATCCCACTTGCGCCCCCGATCGGGCAAAGGGGCGTGGCTGGTCGTGTGCGGCGTATTAGCGCTTAAATCATGATTACCACTGCGTGGCGGTAATTAGGAGACACTAAACGCAGGCTGTGTGTGTGTGTGTGTGTGTGTGTGTAAGGGAGTGTGTGTGAGGGAGTGTGTGTGCCTTATAAATACTCTCAAGATTGCAGTCTATCAGCGCCCAGCCACTGGGAAACTCCTCGCCGAATGGGAAAACGGGAAAGGCGAAAGGGAAAGGAAATATGGGGCGGGAAAGTGAGCGATGCCAGCAATTTGCTATTACTTATCTCGGTTATTGTTATGTGTGAGTGTGGGTGGTGGAGTGGGTGGTGGGTGGTGGGAGGTGGGCGAGTGTGTGGTCTCGTTATGCATTTGCTTATGCTGCGTGCGTGCCAATATCCCACCGAGGACCACAAACACACTCCACATGGGACCAACTCCCCAACGCAGTTACAAATTATAAATATACCACTCGAATTTGTCTTGCAAAAGAAGAAAGGAAGGGGGCCTCCGCCCTCCGCTTTCCGTAGTTTTTCCCCGGCGGAAAACTCTGCGGTGCAGTGAAACTCTCTGCAACTCCGTTGTCGGCACAATAAATGAAGAGCAAACTCAGAGACAACCAAGTAGTTTATGCGGGCTTTGCTTCTCGTTTAACCAAAGGCAGAAGCCCCAAGGGTGATTCTACTTAAAGTTACCGTGCTTAGATGGTCCACCCCAACAGTGCTTCCTACTGATCCTACCCCTCTGACTTATAGTTATTAATATAAATGGTACATACCCCGTTAAATCCCTGGTGTCCTGTGACCTGCTTCCTGTTTTCAGGTACATTTGGGGTGTCGTCGCCATGAACGAACATTCAACTCACACACAAACACGCACAACTGAAACCTGTAACGAAAGAATTTAAATAAACATGTAAGCATTTTGTTTAATTAATTCAAATAAAATGTACACACCTCGCCAGGTTCTCAAATCTGCATCCTGGAAACTTGGCAACGACCTATCTATCTTCAGCAACTAGTGCACAAGCAAGCACATCCACCACCTGGAAATAAGCAAATAAAACAAAGTAATAAGTAAGTAGGTAAAATAATAAAAGAAGGAAGTTATGCATACCTCTTTGGGAGAGATGATTCCTCCGAGTTGCTGAAGATGAGCAGCGAAGGCGGTAAAGTTGCTTTTTCCACGACGATCCAGTAAAGTAAAGTACGTTGCAGCAGTAAAGTTGCTTATTCCACGACGATCCAGCGTGCGTTGAAGACGTCAGCTTACTTAACTTAACTTACGACCTAAATCTTAACCTAATTTCTTTACTTTTAAGAACAGTACTCACTCAGTTTAGTTCTCGATCTTCTGAATCCTAAAGTCCACAAGTCGATTCCAAGCAGAAAGTGTCACTACACATCACCTGAAATTAAAGGAATAATAAAAATAATTAATTACAATTCCAAACATTAAATAAATAATTTATTTGAACATTTAATTTTATTTATGAAAACCCACCTGGTTGGAGGCTGATGCACTGCGTCCCGAAGTCCACTCCAGGCAAGAAGGTGCCATGCATCGCCTGCAATTAGAAAAAACAATAAAAATAATTAATTAAAATATTACATTTAATTTATTTTATTATTACTTACCACTTTTTATGGCTGATGCACTGCGTCCGGGAGCGGAGTCCAGTAGACGGTACCGCCATGCACCTCCTGCAATGAAAAGGAAAAAACACAAGCAATTAATACACCATATTTATTTAAATTAATAAATACCTACCACTTTTGTGGGTGATGCACTGCATCCTGGAGTGCAGTCCAGTAGACGGCACCGCCATGCATCACCTCGGACCACCTCGGACCACCTCACAAGCACACACACACACTAACACTCACGAAAAACCCAGAGAAGTTCCAGAGAGGAACTTCCGGGAGAGGCCGGTCCACTGACTAATTGGCCGAAATTAAGGGGTATGCCACCACAGATCAGTCAGAACCAGTTGGGAATTGTAAGTGCCCGCCAACGAAAAATATTTGTAATTCTGACGTGGCCTTACATTAAGTTAACATTACATTTACATTAATTGAAATTATGTTAAAATTAAATGTTAAATTAATGTTGCTTAACATTTTTTTTAGTCTTGCACGTTGCATGTTTACTGTTGAATGCTGCAAGTTGCATGTCGCGTGTTGCATGTTGCATGTTGTATGTTGCAGGAATATTTTTTTACGTACTATTTTGCACTCATTAAGATGTCAGAGCATTTTCTATGCCAAAACTGTGGCAGTTATGTTTTGAAGAATTGCAAAGGAGCAGCAAAACTAATTATAAAACGGCAACTTTATCGAGGTTTTAATAGCATTTCCATTGCTAATAAATCCCCCAAAGCTAAATGGAAATTAAACCGCTGCCGTGAGTGAGTTGCAACTTTCATAATTATTCTTAATTCACTAACAATTACAAACATTTTGCCCCGCTTCAATGGCATTACAAAGGGCTTATGCCGGAGTCCGCTGTCCGGCGAAATAAAGTTTGCAGGCGGGGAAAGCAGGGAAAGCTGGGAAAACAGGGAAAGCGGGTGGGACTAACCAAATTAATGCGAGCTTCCGCGGAAACTGATGCTGCAGCTCGACGCTCCGAAGGCCGGAGATAATTCAATAGAGCGCGCATTTAAATACACACATTTTATGCGGATTCCGCCGAGGGTCAAACGTTACGCATACGCCGCGTGTGCAGCTCATCCTGCTGCTGCAGACAACTATCGCTCGGCCCACGCACTCCCCCCTCCGCCGAGGGGCAATTTCATTGGCTTTGGCTCCTGCTTTCCCCAGTGCAGCTCCGCAGCCCCCGCACCAGCCAACGTTCTCAACACCCTCAACCTCAAACACCCAACACCGAACACCCACACATCACTCGGCAGCCACCATAAGCAGCGGTTTTCCGTTGCGCATGGCAACTTTCAGCAAAAAGCGTCTGACAGACTGACTGACAGATGCTCGTGGGCGGGGGAAGGGAAAGGGAAAGGCGGGAGTTTTCCGGGCGGGGCACCAAGGCCGACCACCTGCCACGAGCCACCTTTTTATAGACACGACACCCTGGAAAAGAGTGCTGCTGCTGCTGCAGCTGGAGCTAATCTGATCGATATCTAAGGCACCCAGACACTTCGCACTCGAACATTAATCAGGCTAAAGAGTTTCTTGATTCACCAGCACAATCTTGTGAATAAAAACCCAATTCCGAACCAGGGTATGACCACGTCCAATCCCACTCCGATTCCGCCTCCGTTATTGGCGGATGATTTTTGATTCCCCCATGTAGGCAGGGCAGTAGCAGTAGCTGCATGCCTCCGGCGCTTTAATTGAAAAAGTGCCGACTCCCGGCACTCAAACCGCGATCTCCGTGTGTTAAATGCGGCCCTCGACGGCTTATGGGCGAAATTAAAAGCATTAAGCTCGAGATTAGCTCGGCATTGGCGGGGCATAATTGTCTGATTAAGTGGATGCCGAGCCTATTGCTTCGCAGTGCTTTCCGTCTGTCTGTCTGACTGGCAACGCGGCGTATGTGTAATGTAATTCGGCGGCTCCTGCAAGATGCCATGCACTCGTTGTTCGGCGGCCAATTAGCACGTCTCGTTCAGTTTTTGGTCTGCTGCTCAACATCTCGTCAGCTCAGCTCCTCAGCAGTTCAGTTGCTCCTTTGTGTCGAGGCAATTGTAGGCAGTTCTTTGATCATCGAGACGGCGGGAAGGTGGTGCCTAATAGTCCCGCCCCCTCCGCCACCGCCTCTTAACAAATTGCAAATGGCCTTGATAATCGCAGATGATGAGCAATTGTTCGCATTCCCCAGAAGGGGTGAGCGCACCTTTGGGGCTCCTGCTCCTCTTCCTGCTCCTCCATTGTCTTCAGCCGCTGGATAATTGGGATTACGAGGCAGCCCTCCTCATTGCGGGATCCATCGAAAAGTTGTGCTTGTGTCAGCCGTGCGAGGACGTGCTCCAAATGGCTTTTGTGGCGGCAACAATTAGGATCTGCCGAACATCCTGCATGGCCCTTCTTTCGAACAGATACTATATACTAATGCTAATGAGTGTTCCCGAGCAGTTGCTTCTAGTTTGATTCCGTTCTTCTACTTTTCACTCGCTTTTCCCTTTCGGCCTTACTCCGAATTTAATCAGTGATTGCGCTCAAGCATTAGCCTAATGTCGCCAGTCGCCAGTTGCCAGTCGCTGGTCTCTGGATCCTCGAGGAGGAATAGCTCTCCCCAGCGGCAGTGGCAGTGGCAACTTCAAACACTCCGCCCGTCTGGCCGCAGTCATAATTAAAAGCAATTCCCTTTGTTTTGCCGGCGATGCCGCAGAGAGAAGAGGGAATAATAAGTTAATGTTTTAAGCGGCTTGTCAAGCCATGACCTTGGCCCAAACAGCCTGGCAGAACAGCCCGGCTGACAGCAGAGAAAAGCCCAGCGAAATAATGGAAAAAATAAGTATCCTGCGCCGCCCTCTCATTACAATTTAATGCGCTTTGCTCAACAGCTTAGTAAAGATTTAAGCGGCGACCTCCCCCTCCGCCTCCTTTCCCCCGCGAGCAGCCATTAAAGCGATTTAGTTAATTAACATGCCATCCGAGTGCCTCATTGTAAATGCATGGAATCGATGCCCTCGCAACCGCCTTCCCCTCCTCCAAGTCGCGGAATTTCGATCTGGCGATTTGTCTGGCGGTCTCCGTGGCCTGTGCGCTCAATTAGCCGCCTGCCCCTTTCGGTGGCACGTATACGAGTATGTGGCTGCGTGGATGGAGTTGCAGGGATGAGCCACCTAATACACGTCGCTGCATCCGCTCATAAATCAGTTTGTTTAGTGGATGAGCTGGTGAGCAAACGAGGCCAGGCCAGCGGGCAAATGGGTAAAACTAATGAAACGAATTCGCCCAAGTTGCAGGACCTCTCGAGCGTTGCAGTTGCAGTTGCAGCCTGCCACCCGGCACTGCGAAGTGACAACAATCCGCCGCCTGCTCTCTTATCTCGGAAAATGCAGGGCAACTCTCCCGCTTTTCTCGCTTTTCTCGCCGGGGGCAACAGTTTTCCCAATGCCCGGATGTGTGTCCAAGTATGTGTGTCTGTGTGTCCGTGTCTGTGTGCAATTTTCACAGAGTTAACAAAGTGAAAAGTCCTTGCTGGTGGCACGTAATTTATGCATGGCACAAAGAAGGATGCACTCGCAATCCAGGACAAACCCGACTCGACTCGACTCGACTTGACTCGAGTCGACTCCTCGCGGCAAACGGAAGGCAATCTGCAGTCGCCGGGTCGAATGCTAAACATCAATCACGCCCCCTCCCCACTCACCCACTCAATCCACTCAACCCACTCGCCTTACTCTCATGAGCCGCACTGCCTGCGCTGGCAGGCTCCTCTAGGCGGCGTTCGTGTGTCGCAGACTGTATTGATTACCTATTTGTTGCGGCTGGCAGTGCAGCCTTTAATTGAATCGGAGGACCCATCGACGCAGGATTAGACTGCAGCCATAGAAACCTGCCACTCCAGACGAAATGTGCTCGTATTTATACTCGTGTGCGGCATGTCCTTGGCTCAATTAATGTGCAAAGGCTCAAGGAGCGCAGGCCAATCGATCGATAAGTGCGGCAGATGTTCCCCAGACCCCGAATACTTTTGGCTTGTGGTTAGCAGAGCATCTAAAGCAGAACATATAATAAATAGTATCCATTGGAAGAAGGTTTACGTTTTAGAGTCTGCCACAAAGACTGCAAGCGGCAGCTTTAGCCCGGTAAACACTGTTTTCCTTGGCCAGAGTAATAAATCATGGGATGCAATTTTTGCAACATTAAGTCACTGGCGAGTCAACAATCGACTCCGGCAATCCAACGAGTTCATCGGACACGACGAGCCATTGAACATCAATTAAACACCGCTGCCTCGGTTCAACCCCACCGGAAAATGCGGAAAGCCCTCAAGTAAGAGGCACTCCATATGTGATGGGTGAAACCGCATCAAACAACAATAAAGGAAGGCGACTTTGTTTCACTCGCAGCAGAACAAGAAGGCGAACGGCAGGAAGGCAGGAGAAATTTTCCAATGCGTCATTATTGAGCCCAATAAACCAGCCGCGTATTCAGATGCGAGTATCCAACTTTTCCGCTTTTCCGGGGCAGCGTTAATTGCTGCGTGTTGACAGGCCGAAAGGCCTTGGCGGGTGGCTCCTGGGCGGGAGTCCGCGGGGGTGGCGTGTTTGTATTGACAGTAAATTAAGCAGTTTTAATTACAATCAGCCAGCAGCCGGCCCAAAGAGCCACGAACAGTGGATTGTCCGCCAGCGAACGCACTCAATAAAGAGTTTTCCGTTTTCCGCACGCACACCACACACACTTCGATCGATGAACTCGCTGTTCAGCAGCATAATTAATTAAATTGTCCAAACGGAAAAATCATAAGGGGGAAAAGGTGTGCATTCTGCTGCTCTACGCTTTTGAACCTTTGTTATGAGCCCTTTTATATGCAAAAGAATACATTTTTACTTACCAGTAGAGTTGTTCATAGGCGAGTGATACTCTGCAAAGTCTATTTAATTATTTCGATATTTTCTGCCGCTTTTGCATTCCCTTTGCCAGCAACTCATCAGTGGGTCCTCTGAATAATTTAGGTTTGTTCCAGTCAAGAGCGACGCAGCATTAAAATGTAAATGAGAAAAACTTCACACACGAACGCGCCGAGTTAATTTTTCATTTCTCATTTACGTTGTAAATCACTAGTGCACTGATTTCGCCTTAATCAATTTACCAGGCCAGACGTCAAAGGGTTAAGGAAACATATTCGAACCGGCGTCGAGTGCGGAAAATCGGGCGGAAAAGCGGGCGGGAAGCTCGCCGCCGGACTTTGATCCTTTGCGTGGCATGGCTGCAAGTTGGCAATC